ACGCAGAATTCAATCACATATACTGTAGTTTCATTTCAATTCACTACAAACTCAATCTTGCCTCATTTTAAACTGAGCCTCGCCGGAGACCCCACTGTAACTTGGCACCCGTGGTGCTAAGACAATTTCTTCATACAGTTACAGTGGGGTCCCCGGCGAGGCTCAGTTAGCTAGCTCAGCTCAGCTCAGTTAGCTAGCTCAGGCAAGGTTAACTAGCTGGTTTTCGACGGTCGTGTGTCAAGGTTGATGTGGACGCGGGCTGTTAGAAACCTCTAAACCGGAATTTTTTGAAGCAAACTGCGGCTTAGCGTCGGTTGTGCGGGGAAGAGCGGTCGTAAATATTCCCATACAAACTCTTATAATTCCTCCATGACTGTTATTGCTTATAATGTAGGTGTCTTTAAGCCAGCTGTCCATGATCTTAGCAACTCTAGCAACTAAACTACGAAAATTGTCGAACATGTTTCTTGAACTGCGAAAGTTTGATTTAAAAGGAGGCAAGCTGGGACTAGAATATCATAATTAAACTTTAATTATGATATTCTAGTTGAAGTTGATAACGATAGGGGAAATAGGAATCAACCATGGAGGTATTCGTAAAAAACGAGATACTACCTGGATTTCATTTGTACATCACAGAAATCAATTCCAAACATCAATTAAGTTTTCTCTATAGTTTAAAAGTTGAGCTGATGTTGTTATTGGCTATATTAAAGAGGTTGAAAGGTTTCAAATGGTTTCTCTCATGTTTAAAAATAGTCGAATTTAGTGGAAGGTGGAGTTGTCGCAACATGTTAACATGAAACACAACAATAAATTTTATTGATATGTAAAAAGTTTTGATTTCTACAGACAGGTCTTTGTATTATATTTCAACCCAACCACTTCCCAGAACTTGTAAACAACATTGCGAAATAATTAGTCAGGAAAATGAAAAATTTGTGGCACATACACTATGTTTGAAATGCCATGTCCAGAATAATCTAACAGGATTGAAGAGGGTGCATGTAAGAATAGGCCCACTTGTTTGTATCATAAATTTGCTAATTGCTCTTGTTACCAATGTTTTGGTCAATAAAATGTTAGTGGGGTCAGAGGAAAAATTAATGTGCCACACATTTGCAAGATTTTATGTAATTATAAGATCAATGTTACTTTATATTCAAATAATTACCTGAAACAAAAGTTATAACTTTTTTAATACCCTGCTTCCTTTAATTGTGCTCCAGAAGTAGTAAGTGGTATTGAAGAGAAAGGAAGAAAGTTCTTGAAACATTCTACTTTAGATAAAACTCTGTTATGAAATTCAATGTTAATTACCCCGGCAATTAACCATAGGAAGCATGATATGAATAAATTGAATCTCACCCAGTTTGAGTGTAGAATCCAAAATCTAATTAACCAGCAGGAAAAGAGGAAAACCTCAATATGTTTTTCGTACGATAATCATTCTAAAAATCACAAATCAATCACACCACCTCTTTAGTGTGAGTGTTTTGACAATGTGCGGGGTTTTTTATGGCCATCTATTCATAGTATCTATCTTTAACCACCTGACATCTGAGAAGAATCGAGTCCACACTGGTAATTTGACTCACTGAAAATTCAGTTGATGTAAAAGAAATGATTCCTGCTAAGAAACGAAAAACGCACTAATGGAATGAGACATTCATCCCACTAGTTGAAAAGTTATCTTCTTTCTGGTTAACTTATAGACGGGTAGGGGGAATTTATTTGTCATAGCTAGTAAATAAAATTTAACCAGCTGCTTAAGAAACTATTCTATCTTAGTGCAAATCTACCAGCGTTTTATCATAAATGCTGCAATCCGATTTGCCACGCTGCTCCCTATCTATCAAACAGTTTTTCTACGATCGCGTGTAAGATATAAGATAGTAGATAACTATAATCATCTCATATCCAACAAGGACGAGTGAAATAGTTGTTTTATTAAAACACCCCAAAATATAGATTAATCTCTCCCGTACGGGATTTGAACCCATTACCTACGACCATGGGTTCAAATCCCATACGGTCCTGAATTGTTTTCAGGCCATATTTCAACTACTATTTCAGTAATGTTCATAACTGCGAGGACCGCTTCTATATTCGTTAACAAACGGAATGTTAAAATATGCAAATACACTTCCGGTTGAACTGGTCTTCTGCGCGCGCATGCATATGGTATGATGGCTCATAACCCATGATGGCTAAGCCAATGAAAACTCTTGAATTTCATTATCCGATGATCAAGTTTTTAACAATCCCTAATAGACAATGAGTAGCTTGACTAGTCTAACAGTGTGCAGTCGTTAATAAAGTAAAATAAAATCCTGATCATGTTTTTCTTTTATGTTGTGAACGACTATCAGATTTGCATTAAAACAACTTTGCGTTACGGCGTATTCGGGCTTTTCCATCGTCAACTGTCACGCGATAGAAATATCGCACTTTTAATCTAATAGTTCGATACAGCAGTTTGAAAATTAATTTTTTCCTTCCTCCTGTTTCAGAGTTTGAGGTGAATGTGGTAATAGTTCTTCAAGATGAGCATCTCGTGACAGAAAACTTTCCAATTAAAATGATAAGATATGAAAATAATGGTGATGATTCTTAGAAAGGAAAGATTCTTGCCAAGTTTCTCCTTTAGAAATCATAAAGGAAAGCTTTTACAGTCCAGATTGTCTTTTAAAGGATTTGAACGAAACAATAAATGTATGTCTTAAATACGGAAAGAAGTAGTTCTGACTTTCTGATGGTTTTTCAGGTGTTTAATTAAAATGTGAAAAATGTATAGCTGCATTAAAAATTGTATATTTCTAAAAATTAAGATGATAATAAACGAGCAAGAATTCTGTTGAAGGCTGTGTTGTCGTGCCTTTTATTTTATTTTCCCCCAGAAACAAGCCTGATTTCCAAGTACGAATAAATTTACATTATACTCAAACGCGTGACATATGTACGCGAAGTTCTTAGAAATAAGACGTATAGTACCGTATCTCTACATGGTCTGTATCACATTTCTTCCTTTCTCTTCCTTCATCAAGTCTGGATGGTGGGTGGACTCTGAAACCCTCTGTGAGGAGACCTTCATTTGACTGTATATTGGCAACGACCCAAAAAATGGACAGTTTTTTTTTTTCATTTGCGTTGACAAAATGTGCTTTACTTGGCTGAAAGCCTACATTCCTGCCCTATACATTGGTATGTGTTAACAATATTACTTATTAAACCATGTGGAAAATGTAAAATATCAATAATACCTCGAATTCGCCTGGCTATTTTTTTGTCAATACACGTATGAAATTGATTCGACTGCGAAGAGGGAAAGTTTGTTTTTGAGTGCATTGAACACAGCCGGTGGGTGTTTCGGAAAACCGTTTCAAGCATCCTTAAATCTACTACTTTCAATTTTAAAGACCAATACCGTACATCACTACAGAGGGAATTGATTTGCATATCTCAGATAAAGTTTGTCCTTTAGATATTATTAAAGGAATGCTTTACAATTCAGAAAGTCTTGTTAGGGATTTGAACGAAACAATGAATAATTTGTTATTTTGAGCTCATTACGCAGTATTAATGGCAACGTTCACTCTTTCCCGCCATGGTTAGATTCACTATATAAATATCTCCTTTCCTTGGAACAGTTTTTCGCATAGGGGGAGTACCATCTTCTAATTGCCTTTAGCTGCCTTTATCAGAGTTTACGAGATTCAATAAGTCTCTTTTCAGTTCTTAATGTACGGCGATGAATTGTTTGCCTGTGTCAAAACTCGAAACGTAAATCGAAGTCCAACACGAACTCGTACTCGAAAATAAACTCGAGCACACCTAACTCTCCCTAGGCAGAGACCATAGCGATTGACATACCACGTCCACTATTTCAAACTTCAATCCTTTGGTCAACACACGTATGAAATTGATTCGACTGCAAAGAGAGAAAGTTTGTTTTTCAGTGCTTTAAACACAGTCGGTGGGTGTTTCGGCGAACTGTTTCAAACATTCTTAAATCTACTATTTTCAATTTTATACACCAATACTGCACATAATTACAATTGATATCGAGGGTTCGTTATATCGAAAACCTCGATTTAACGAATTTGCGGAAAAAGCAACCAAAATGTTCCCTATATAAAGTGATGGTCAATTTTTTTTGTGGTGTCACTTCGTGCTACCCAGCATTTTGGGATCGGAACGATTACTGTAAGTAACATTTGTGCTTTAATTTCTATATGAAGCTACAGTACGCTGTACAGGTCTGTACATAGCTACAGCACCTTGCTTTCAAAGCACGGAGGACAATTGTTGATAGTTTCAGTTTCGACATTAGAATGAGCTGTTAACTGTGACGTTGATCTATTGTTACAAAACTGAAGGATTTTGATTCTTGTTGGTCTGTTTCGCATTTGTCTTTTGTCACGTGTTGACATAGGCTCGTTATATTTTGGTATATAATAC